TGGAGAAGAAAGGGAAAGAGGAAGAGGATGAGGATTTTGAAATGGATGATGAAGGTGCCCTTTCTGGTAATAATAGACTTGGTATTGAGAAGGAGATTGGTGAGCGCTTGTTAAAGCTGCAGAATAGGATAAATGGTAGTACTAAGGATATTTCAGCAGCGTTACAGCAGATTAATACTCGTCGGAATCCTGCTGCTGGAGTGGATAGGGGTGTTATTAAGAATGTGAGTAAGGGAAATGAGGCAATGGTGTTTAAGAAGAAGTTTAAGTTTAAAAGCCCTTCAACTAAGGCTACAAAGACTCCCAAGGGGTTTCCAGGGACCCGAGATTGGAGGGCATCGAATGCAAAGAAGAAGAGGGATTCAGCTGGTAAGGATTATGGAAGTGATGCTGCTGATCCTGATAACGCACAAGTGTCATATGAAGATAAACAGGTGAATCAACAAGATGATGGAAGGCAGAAGAGTATTTCTAGTGTTCCTACGGAAGGAGGAAATTTCGTTGATGACGAGTCCAAGGCGATTCGAAATCATGGGAAAAATTTGAAGGAAAAGAAACCAAATATGAAGACAGGGGTTGGAGTTAAAAATAGAAGCGGTGACAATGGTAATGAGTTCATTGCATAACTTCTAAATGGTTTTTCATATCTATTGTTTATTTGAACTAATAAAATATGAATTCACTTATTCTTGCATAGTTAGATGGAGTGACACATTTCGAAATACCTTTTCTTTTCCCGAGTTTGGCTATTGTTTCTTGTTGCACTATTATTCAAATTTAACTATATATCAGAATTACGGCAGTAAAACTTTTGTATGGTTTGGCAATTTACATAAATAGAGCAAAGAGTATGCAGATTTTTCTTTTATGGTTTTGACTGTTTACTTGTTCCAAGAAGAAACTAGTGAAATATAAATGTAGTGCAATTTCAGTTATTTTTTATATTTTTAGGTGGTGTCCAGGAGACTAATTTTGGGATGTCTTCACTTGAAGTAACACAGCCAAGAAAATTAAGAGATTCTAGTATTCAAAACTCTAAGGGTTTTGTGGAAGAAAGCCAGGAAACAATTGTTGAGAACGATGGTGTGCACAGTATAAATGGTGGTTCAAGACATGGGTTAGCTAAAAAAAGTTCAGCAGCTAACAGAGTTGAAGTTAAGAAAGCAAATACCAAGACTGGTATGTGGTGGCTGAACCTCCGTTATGTTTTTGTAAGTACCAGAAATTTCTTTTTCTTGTTTACCCAATACTGCATCAATGGATCTTCAAAACCTCATTATTATTAAAGCTGTGGAACCTTTAAAATTTTCTCATTGTATCAACCATCAAGTATGTATAAGTTAATCCTGAAAAACATTGACAAAGCCAATGTCCTGCATTGTAGGACACATATACACTTTAGAACTCTTAGTACTGGTATGAGTTAGCTTGAATCGTCATTTAATTATTATACATGTCCCTGTGTGTATCCATTTGCATCTCATCTTAAAGTCACTATCTGTATTTATGAAGGTCATTCTCATGCAAAGAGATTCTGACGAAGGATCAACAGGTCTCTATAGCTTTAAGTTCTCTTCTAAGGAGCAGGACCTAAGTGATGATTCCTATACTGTTGCTTTTGAGGATCATGCTGATGCCAACAACTTCTGTTTTCTATTGGAATCCTTTTTTAAAGATTTGGGGTCTTTTAGTGCTGATGCAGTTCCAATGTCAATACAAGTAAGAATCTTATACGCCCTAACATATACTAATATAACTGAAATGTCTCATTGCTACCCCTGAACCAGGCATATGAAAATTGGAACTTAAGGGTCAATTTTATGAACTTCTAATTGGATGTGGAGTGTACAATCATGTTGATACATGCCTTACCCTATGGGGCACTTCTAATATTTTGCAGGAACTGAATGAAGAGATAATATCACGTGCCAAGAAAGTCGTAGTTGTGAAAAAGAGGCAGCTTCAACTCTATGCTGGACAACCGCTTGCAGATGTTGAAATGGCCTTATGCTCTATAATAGAACAGGATCAAAATGCGCCGTAGTTGATCGTCACATTGATATGACTGTTTGTCTGTTACTTTATCAAGCTGCACAAGAAATGCCCTTGATGAAGTCTTAAAGAAACAACAACTCGACCACAATTGGTGGTCATGGTATCTGTGGACACTTGGTGGAAATATTGAGTTGATGGAGCCAATTGCTGGGCAGAGGTGATGAATGCTTTATACCGACTGAATCTTGGTGATTTAGCATTTCGAAAATCTTCCTGGTATTCAAGTTAAATGCACACGTATCTTCCAAGGGGAAGTGCCCGTGCTTGAGCCACTGGACACTTACAGAAATCCTAGGGGTTATTGGGAGTAGGTGAGGGTGAGGGGGTGGGATATGTGGGGAGATTCATACGTTAGCTGTAATGTAATATCTGAAATTTTGAAAATAAATTCAAATTCCAAGGATAGTAAATTTGATCTACTGTCCGTGCGAACTTGAAACAACAAGGATGATATTTCCAGCATGGAATAAATTTCTGTAACCACCACCCGTGTGGGAAGAAAGCGTTTCCAATTGGTCTTGAAGTTGTAAAAGAAAATGGCGCAACAAGATAAATGGAATATACTGCAGCAAGCTGGATGAAATTTTTATTCCAGCATTTTTCATGCTGAATCATTAGGGTTTTTTTTTTTTCTTACGCAAAGCTTTAAGGATCGGCATAACAGTTTTAAACATTGAGAAAGAGCATGAGTGGGTGGTCGTTTGGATTGGCAGAAGCTCTGCCACACTTGTCGCGTATTGGGCATTCGATAGAAACAACTCATTTGAGTTGTTTCATGTATTGAAAAATAAAAAAAGTAGTCTTTAGTGTGCTATGTCAGTATTAAGTAACTCAAACTCTAATGTTAAAAAATTTTAAGAAATTCAACTTTTAAATTTTTTTTCTTAATCATTTATGAATTAAATTTAAATTTTTATTAAAAAGGATAATTATACTATAATGAAAGAAAATAAATTTAAAAAAAAATATAATAAGTAAATATTAAAAATAAAATAAAATACTAGTAAATACATAAATATTATACGAAATTAACTTTTATTATTATTATTTCTGAAACGTTCTTAAATATGTTCAATAAGATCTACTTGAAATTTGATAAGAAACAGTTATTTGAAGAAACAATTATCTCTCTTCTTCAAGTAATTTATGTTATCACGTCAAAGTCCTCTAATGACAAGAAATCAGGACTTAAGCTGTTTCATAGGACAAACAAGTCTCATTGGAGTTGCTCACCATGTGCCCCCATACATTGAAGTTGAAATACTTCGTGCAGGGCAGTCAGTCCTTTAGCCGTCACTTAATCCATTAAGATGGCCTAGTAGTAGCAATGAGGGTTCAGATAGTTATTGAGCAAGGTTCCCTGTCTGCATCCTCACACAAACCGTTTCACTTGGGAGTAGCTGGTGAAATTTGAACAATGTGGTAAATTCGAGCCATGTATCGCTGATATTATATTATGAATCAATCCACAAAACAGGGTCACAGAAAAAGTTAATAGAGACCCCACCAAGCCACCAAATGTGCCAGTTGTGTAAGGTTCGAGCAACTTGTCACCACAGATGATCAGAAGGCCCCTTTATAGGGTTTTGCACACAGCACTCCGAGGATTTTTCATTATCTTGACCTCCTCCAACACAACTTTTTCTCTGTCCATTATTTTACATTATACATTCGCCGAACTCGAAACCAAATAGCCCATAATGATGTGTTTCTTTTTTCTTGTTTGGCTGAGGGAAAAGTATAATAAAAAGAATACAAATGTTACTTTTATAAATAAAATTTCTAAGTTTTTCTTTCTTTAATTTAAATTTCAAACCTTTTTTTTCGTTCTTCATCTTCTTTCTATTATACCAAATAAGTCATTTGTTATTGTAAACATATTATATCAAATAGACGAATAGAGTTTAATTAAGTTGGTTAAAAATTGTGTTTGAATTATTTTAAGTTTTTTAATATCGTTATAATGGATTAAAAAAACCTTTTGTTGTCAAAATTTAATACTATTAACAAAAGGGTAAGACATTAAAAGGAGTGCATTGAATTGAAACTTAGGAAAAATATTTTGGTATAAAAAATTCATAAGTAATGTATATTATTAAAAAAATTGAAAAAATATAATGATTTATAAGATTTTTTTTAAAAAGTTATAATCAAAATTTTGTAAAGCTTTTAATCGATTTATATTATAAGAATTATAAGATTTAAGAAAATTTAATAATTTTTTTAGTAAACATTTAAAATTACGATAGCCAATAAAAAATATGACAAAAATAAAAATAAAAAATATTTAAGTTTTTAATAGTTAATCTTAAAAAAAATTGTCATATGAATATGAAAATAACATCTTCATTGACTAATCATAAATAACAAGAGTCAATTATCTTCACATTTTTCGATTAAAATCTATTTATTCTCTTTAAATAAGCTTTATACTGTTTTAGCTTAAATTAATTCAAAATATGTAAAATTATGAACAATTAAAATAATTATTTAATATAGAAATAAGTTTTATAATCTCAATGTTAATAATATTAAATAATAATTTAAAATTTTATATTTATTAGAAAATTACTTCATTATACATCATATCATATAAACATTAAATAAAAAAATATTTTATCTTCTTAATTGATTAACTAGTGAAAACTGATTTTCTTTCTTTCTAACTTTTTGTCCAAATAATCTAAAAAAAATACATATTTTCTATCTATTTACTTTTTTTTCTCCTATTATTTTGTCTCGTTCCATCCTGTAACGTAAGTAGAAAAAAAGGAGCAGTGTTGAACTTTGGACAGGGAATATTAGAAAAAAGAGAGAAAAACATTATTAAAGTGATCCACAAAACAAGGCTCGATCAGAACGGAGTGTTGTAGTGAATCGGCAAACAGCCAAAGACAATGAATTGAGACTGACGAAGAGAGATTCACAGCACCGAAGAAGAAGAAGAAGAAGAAGAAGAAGAAGAAGAAGAAGGTCTTTAATTACTATATGATTAGCAAATAAAAACCGTTCTCTTAGCAAATAAAGTTATTGGATCGACGTTGTTCTGATTCATTATTGAGAATGAGAGTGTGCGTTTGATGTGCAGTGAAGCATGGAGGAGCCTCAGTACCGCGAACATCCCAAAACCAAAATCACCACCATTCCTACGCCGCAGCACTCCGACGGCGCCACCGCCGAGTTGCGCGGCGTCGATTGCAACCTCGCTTCCCTCTGCGAGCATGTCCAAATCGAAGGCTTCAATTCCGGTTCCTTCTCCGACATCGTCGTCAATGCCATGGGTTCCACTTATCGCCTCCATCGTCTTATCCTCTCCCGCAGTTCGTATTTCAGGTAACCGATTACCGCAAACATGTATGCAAGAATTTTGCACTCTTCATAATGCTTAATTTATTCTTTCATTTCTGTGGATGCCTAAACTTTGTGCTTTATTTTCCCTAGCACATGGCTTTCTATTGTTGCGATTCTTGTGTGAATTGTGAACCCGCACGCTGTATAATTAACCTTAGTAGTATTTATTTTGTTTGTCCGATGCGTGTGTAAGGAACATGCTTCATGGGCCTTGGAAAGAAGCCAGTGCTCCTGTTGTGACTCTGCATGTTGATGATAAGAATGTAAATGATGAGGCTATTGCAATGGCTTTGGCATATTTGTATGGACACCACCCTAAGCTTAATGATAACAATGCATTTCGTGTTCTTGCTGCTGCTTCATTTCTTGACCTTCAGGTATGATGATGTTTACATGATAACTTGAAGCCCTCTTAAGTGTTTATTGTATTGGTTATTATTATATTGCTTCTTCAATATTTTATTTGGTGTGTCTATTCATCTATGCAGGATTTATGTGGAATTTGCACGGATTTCATTATATCTGAGTTGTGGACTTCAAACTTCTTGGCTTATCAGGTTCAAGGATCCGGATGCTTGTATTTGTATAGCCTTGTGAGATTTAAATAATACCGTATAAATTTTTTGGTTAGTTATTGGTGGTGTATGATTGTAAGCTAGGTGTTTGCGGAGAACCAAGACTATGGCATTCATGGGGAGCGTGTTAGAACTGCTTGCTGGGGCTACCTATGTCAAAGTGGTGGCATGGAATTAAAAGAGGTAATGAGGAAAATAGAAGTGTATGCTTGCATCTTGTGGTTTTGGTAGTTCTGGTTCTTGATTATGTGTTTATTATGGATGAGAGGATTAAGTTAACAACATTTGCTTGTTGCAGGTGCTTCCTAAACTTTCATCTCAAACATTACATGCATTACTGACTTCTAATGATCTGTGGATACCCAATGAAGAGAAACGGTAAGTGGTTCCCAACTCTTTTTTATTTGGGTTCTGTGGTTAACTGCTTGAGTTTTGTAAACTGCATAACACTTCTCTAAAACTTTATAAAAAGGTTTGAATTGGCTTTACACACATTCCTGGCAAAAGGCGCTCACTGCAAGGTCGAGCATTCTACACATGGGATTTCTGGTTCTGAGTCTGCGACTGATTCTGGTAGCACCAAGGGAAAAAGTGTAACTGATAGCTGCACTAATAAAAGGTTGGAAACTGACATGGGGAAAATGAGTCTTAAAAGTGATCCAAAGGACCTTAGCACTCCTAATCTTCTAGTTGAGCTTGCAGATTCAGTGGTGGCAGACTTCAATGATGGGGTTTCTGTTCCAAATGAACGGGTTCTACAAGCTTCATATGTCAATTCACCAAACCAGAATCCAAGATATTCTTGTGACATGGAAGGACCATCAATGGGTAGTTCACTGCCTGATGCGGATGGGATGAGATCACCATGTTATGTTGATATGCCTCTTGGTGCGGGAGCAACTAGTATGGGAGCCACTGGAGTGGGTATTGAAGGGCCATCTGAAGAAGGGCCTTGCTACCATTTGGAGAATAATAGTTGGTTAGTTAGGGATCAATCAAGGCATTGTTTTTCTTCAAATTCTTGTAATGAGACCACATCCAATGATTGGGGAAGATACGGAACACCTTTATTTTCATGGAATGGCCAGTTTGTTGGCAGAAGACAGCTTAAAGCTCACCCCAGAGGAAACTACAGAGGTCACGGAGATGAATATGATGCATTTTTTAATATATTTGAAGGGGGTTCCCTTTTATATTGCAATATGTCCTTTGATGCACTTCTAAATGTCAGAAAGCAACTTGAAGAATTAGGTTTCCCTTGCAAAGCTGTAAATGATGGTCTTTGGCTGCAGGTTGGACTGAGATTAATTTTTCTTTTAAAATTAGTAATTAGTATTGCATTTTCCATCTTAAAAAATACTTATATAGTTTCAAATTGCAAATTTCTATGCCTCTAATGCAGCCATGTTTGCATTACAAGAAGTTATAATTTTCATTTTGCCTCTCAAGCAAACTGAATATCTGGCTCAAAAAGCATTTATTCCTGAAAATATTTAAATATGTTATAATCTCAATCTCTGCATATCAATCAGTATATAGGTCATTGAATATGGTACAGAAATTATTGGTTGTGAAATGTTGACATTATTGTTTGGTGTTTTAAACTTTATGCCTTCTGTAGATGCTTCTTAGTCAGAGGGTACAAGAAATTGCTGCTGATACATGCAAAGTTTGTT